GGTCTAATGGCATTTTTTGTTTTGAACAGCAAGGGACAGTTATGATGGATAAGCAAAATATAATATTCTCTCATCAATGATTTTCAAGAGACTAATTACTCAAAATAACTTGCAATTTATAATTACTTTCAACTTTTAGATGGAACTGTTCTAAGCAAAATAAGTATTTTCCAAAATGATGCCTGCCATTTTTTAGCTATCTGCAAGCTATTTGAATTTTTTAGCTATTGCCAAGATCTTAGCTGGGTCTGCATGTCCTTCATAAGGGAGAAGAGAAATAAGGTTACTGCAGCTGAGGGGGCACTGGCAAATGGAGCTAGATGTCTCATGGTGTTTTCCCCTTGTATTGCACGCATGCACTATTCAAAGCATCATAATACTAGTTTTACATTACATTGTTTTATTATATATTACATGTATCTGAAATATCAACTGCGCGAGGTCTTTCTTAACCTAAACCAGAAGATCCAGTTCAGTTATGGGCATCTAAGCTGGCTAAGGAAACATAGAACTGCTTCATGTAGTAAAGCTGATAATAACAGGGCAAGCTTTGCATGCTTTCATTAAAACAAGTCATACTGCCCTTCATCAGTTAGTCTAATGAGATTTTATAGGGAGAGATGATCTTTTATCTTCCTCTATTACATAAAATAACCAAGACAAATTGGCTTCAGCCTGTAGGATCCTCACTTTCTCTGCCATCCTTCACTTTAGTCTTCCTTAAATGAATGTAACTAGTGGGTTTGGGCCTTCAGAGCAGGTTCAAGGTACTCCTTTGGAATTTGGAAAAATTTGGAAAATTTTTAAGGGAATAGGTCAGTGCCCTAAGAGGCAGTATCACTGTATTTCAAAAATGAAGACAAAATGTGTAAGCAGTATAGATGAGCTTTGGAAGAATATATGCTCTATAATAGAAAGCCTATATGATTCATGTTTCTATTTGGAGTATGTATGTATGCATGTATTCTGCAAATTTATTTTTATACAAATTTAGTCATATTCTACCACTCTTAGAATCTGAATCTGTATTTGACATTTAAAAATGGGACTTACTGTAGCAGTACTGGTATTAATTTGAGAAAATGTGTTACAAAGAAGTGTGCATATTTTACATTTATAAAGCACTTGTCTACTGGAGACATGTTGCACAGTACAGCTATGCTTGAATATTCCAAAACAAAAATAAATCATATGTCCAGGCAGTGAAAGTTGCTTTGGACTTTAATTATGCCACAAATCTGAGTGTTTGAGTGGAAAGCCCATATTTTCATGTATGGATTCCAATGCCAGGCAAATAGTCCTGGTTTAATTTATCTGAGTTTAAAATACCAAATGTGACTGGAAACTACTACTTACTTCCAACATGCAAAACTCTCTCTGTATTAGTGCTGACCACAATTCACCTGATTGTGCACACACTCTCGTTCATTATTTTAGGGGAGATTTCAAATGGGAAAAATGTAGCGAAAATGATGGTTAGTGCTGACCACAATTCACCTGATTGATTGAAATCTCCCCTAAAATAATGAACAAGAGTGTGTGCACAAATGGGAAAAATGCAGCGAAAATGATGAAAGAGGAGAACGGCTGTATCTTATCATACACTAAATAACTGTGTGGCTTGGCCTTGCTGTGGGGGCTCCTTCCCTTCCTCTACTAGGGAGTCTTTTCCTAGTCCTATTTCATGGAGACAAGCAAGAGCCTCGTAAGACCAACAACTTTCTCACTTCAAAAGTCCTGAGAAGTCGATATGCTTTAGCACTATGACTGCCACATAGTGACTGAATTTTAGATAGTACAGAAGCCTTAGAACACGTAAGAGGAATAATAACAGGCATACTTATAACATACTGCAATGCCAGGAGATTGAAATCCCAATATAGAAAGTATTTTCAACTAGATCTTATTAAACCACATGAAATGAATAATTCAGGTTAGCTGTTTCTAGCCCCTAAAAAGCAACAAATCGCTGAGACTCATCTAGTACAACTTGCATTAATTTCCTGATGTTTTTCGTAGCTTTAGAATGTCAAAACCAGGTGTTGATCGTGCTCAACCTCAAGGCACGGTTGAAACTTTTTACAGCGTTCTTAACCTTACTATATTATTTCTTTTCAAGAATTATAAATCTGAAAGAATGCACAGTGCAGCCTTTTCATCAGGTTAATCATTACTGCATATTGTGGAGAACATGAACAAATATGTAGAATAGCAGCACTTTTTTTCCTAGGTTGTTACATAAAAAATAGATTAACATTTTAAAAATTACAGAAAATAGGTTGAACTGCTGGAATAAACTTTCTGTTGTTTTTTCTCCCCATTCCACTCCACAGAACAGGTGCATGTCAAACTGGTAGGTATTAAATAAAAAGTGATGATTTATCAAGTGTTACATCTCAATGGGCTGGAAGAGTGCTTGGTGAAAAACAAGACAAATGCTTGCAAACAAAACAAGTCAGAAGCTTAAATTTTCTTAACCAGACTGAAATTTTTGGCTCAAGATTATCCTTTGTGTGTTTTACAAGTATTAATAACCTTTTTCAGAGAATTTATGTGTCTGCCTTTAAAAGGCTCTACACAATGCAGTTACGTTATCAAGCACTCACAATGACCTCCAAGAGCATCAACAACACAGTTCCCATTAGCACAAAGTGTTACTTATGTTTGACAAGTACTACATCATGGTCATTTTTGAACTTGTTTTACCTACACATTATGGCCAACATCTGCTTCTGGAAAGTGGAGGATTAATTCACAGATTTATTTCTATTTACTGGTAATGAAAGGACTCTAGAATTCTTCCTGTTATATTACTCTTACTTTGATAATGTTCCTTTTCAAACAAACCTCTTACTTGGAAAAAAGTCTTTTTCAGTTCTCCCTTTCAGAGCTGATGCCCAGTGATCTCCTATGCAAATATCTCAGGTTTCTTGATAATAATTGGCAACATTACTTACACAAGTATTTCTCTCCCGCAGTTTACTGAAGTACATATTTTTCCTATTACTATAGGAAGTTAAATAATACTCTGACCAAAGAACATGATGAACAGATGCCTGATATGCTGTTTCAAATAAATTAGCACATTAGCAGAGGGTACAATTTGAAAAAGAAACTTGGTGTGGGAAGTGTCACTGAACTTTTCTTTTTGGGGTGAGCACTCTCACTTTCACATAGTCATTGAAACAGAGGTAACTTTAGCAATGCTTGTGCCAGCCAGATCCTCCACCATCTCATTTTTTAAATTGTTCCTCCCACTCATCCACACAGATGTCCATTTAGATCTGCTTATTCCCCCACCAATAAAATGTATGCCTTATTAATAGTCCTACTGAAGTGAATTTGTGATAAGCTAGGGAATTTATAGGAATTATCTAATAACAAGGAATTCGATGAACTAGGGAACCAGGAAAGAGCCTGTCTTAGGCAGTAGATTTAATTCCTGAAAACAAACAAACCAAAAAACACCCTAATACATCCTTCATACACAGTCCAAAGCAACAAGGAAGTCAAACACAGACTGACAGGCAATGTTGATGTTGACTAACAAACCAAGGATGGTCTTTGGGAGGGGAGCGCGCACAGGCATCGTACTCACACTGCACCTACAGCACAGTCCTTCTTTGTTTGGGTGTAATAACACCCAAATATTGACTAAGCAAAAATAACCTAGGAGTGGATACTGATCACTGGATGAGCTGGGAATCACTTTATCAGGTGGATAAGAGAAAACAGTTCTCACCATGACAGCCATCAAAGGCATTTGAACAAGGGGTCAGGTCAAAAAAGACTGGAAGACTGAAGCCTAAGACCAAAAAGGCTTGAAAAGAAAGAAAGTAAAACACATATAAGCTGCTGCTGTTTTAGGTAAGTACTCTTCTTCTGAGGTAGTGTAATGAAAGATGATTTTTCTTTTAAAATCTATCCCATACCTGTAGGTCTATCTGCCTCAGCTCTCACCTAGCCATGGAGAACAAAGAGAAAGCCTACTAGAGGCCCAGGAAAAAAGATTTTTCTAAGTTCTTGACAGTACAAATGAATCTTAGTAAGGGCCTTTGGCCAGCTAGACTGCAAGATCCCATTTGTATGAAAGGCAACAGAAACCTTATACACAGGAGGTGTGCCAGAAACCACGAGGAAGACACAACAGAAGAAACATTCAAACCCAGAAAACCTTGAGAGCTGCTATGATGAATGACTCCATCATGGGGTGAAGATGAAAAGTTTTTTTTTTTTTAAACCTTGCAAGTTATATCTTTGAGAAAGCAGTATAAGCTAAGAATATAAATACTCTTCTAGTCTGTCTATAGCTAGCGTAAAATTCTGCATTATTGTTGGGACTACACTACTAGTTTACTGCTTCATAGGTGGGAATAAGGCATGCTGTTGCAAAAATAATAAAAATTAGGAGCCTGAGAGTTCAATTCTATTAAATGGAAATAATCTGACCTCAATATTAACTGCTTAGTCTATTTTAAGTCATTATATTCTCCACTCTAAATATTTTCTTGAATCTAGACGCCCTCGCTCCTCACTTCTGCTGTTGGTGCTCTTGCTGGACTTAGCTGATTCTGTGCTGTGGGGAGTGGGCCCTTCCGAGACGGTTGTTCCTGACATGAAAGTGGAACTACGATGACTATGAAATTCAAAACTCAACAGCACATAGGTAGCAAAGATATATTTTCCACATATGCTAATTATCAAGCACACTGTACCATCATTTTGCTCAAGAAAATTTGGGAACTTTTTATATAATACTGCCATCAGCTGGTCTAAAAGCTGATTTCCTAAAAGCATGAAAAAACTCAAAGATTATAACACAAAAGTATAAATGCTCATTCCTACTCATTAACCTTTTTGGTTTTAACAAAGAGCATAAACATGTACTTACCAGCCATCTTTCATATTCTTCCATAGCCCTTTTATCTTTTTCTTCTTTCTTCACCTGCTGCATTTCTTGCTTTCTTCTCTCTAGGATTTTTTCTACCTTCTTTTGTTTTATACATTCCTCCTTTTTTTCATTCCTGTATGACAGAGGAAAACAGGAAACCATCACTTGGCAAGCTAAATGCTGTATCTTTAACAAGTTTACCAAATGGAGTAGAGTAAGAAAGATATTTTATGCATTTGATAACAGATTGGGAATATATTGTAAAGTTATAAAAAAATCTTCAAAGTCCATACTACCAAAGTATACATGAACGTACTATTACAGCATCATCCTTTCTATAGTACTCTCCCTTATTTTCTATCATATAAAAGTAGATTTAAAAATAAATTGTGTACATGCTCTGAAACCTGGCCTAAGAAGAATTCCTCCAGCAGACACATACATGTGCTTCTGAATACACCTAGGTTCATCTACGCTATTGCACAGAGCCCAAACAAAGCCTTAAGGAAGGTTTATTGTCCTTCCTGAAGCTTAGTGTTGAATTATGAACGCAATCATATAGACATTATGGTACTCGGTGACTCCTGCAGCACGTGGCCTTTGGGGAAAGCAAGCACTTAGGTAGCAGAGCTGAAAGGGCTGGGCAGGTTGTTCCTGCCGCGCCTGCTCTCCAGGCGCGCCGGATCGCCAGGCACAGACGCGCGCAGCGCCCGCACTCCGACTGCCACCAGCAAAGGTCTAGAAATTGCTTTAGTCCAAAACCCAACAGGATGATACCATTTTTCAACTGCAGACATGCTGTCTCTCTTCTTTTCAGCAACTAATTCCTCTTCTTTTTTCTTCCTGATTCTTTCAGATTGTTTCTCCTTTCTGTTTAGCTCTCTCAAATATTCTACTTTCTTTTCTTTCCATTTTTCAAATGCCTAGAGAAAACAGATTCATTAGCAATCTTATCCCTCATATTTTGGTTGATACCCTTCTTGCTTATGCTGTGTTACACTATTTTTATAGATTACAGTTTTGGAATGGTTGTTTGCAGCACTGCTCAGAATCTGATACCACTTGTAAAAAGGATTACAGTGATTATATATCACTGTATAAAAAGGATTATATTTTTTCCCAGAAAGTAATATAGTTCTTTGTAAACGTATTTAAATGGAATTTATTTTACATTCAACTCATAACACTGAAATATGAGAAAATGCCTATTCATTGCGCAAAATTGACTGCTATACATTTCTAATGCAGAAATGAATCTGCTGTGATCTCTCCTCAAAAATGAGCTATGTTCAGATTTTGGAATCTGGTTTATTTCCATCTCTTGCTGGATTAATCAAAATTGTTCTCAACAGGTTCCTGAACAATATCTGGTATTTATTTATCAATTTCACATTACCTTCTGTGCAGCTTCTCTCTTCTCCTCATCCTGTTCTGCCACTCTCCTTTTATTCAGTTCCTCAAGCTTCCTTTTTTCACTTAATTTCTTTGCTTCTCTTTCTTTCATTGCTTTCCAGGCTTCAAAAGATGCAATTGCTTCCTCTCTTTTTGCAGCCTCTTTCTAGATTGAAAACAATTCTATATTTACATGCCACTAAAGATTCTTAAATATAAAATATATAACTATAATTGAAAATGCATAATTTAGTTCTCAAATGTAACATCTGACTGAGCAGCAATGAAAAGGGATCTACAGACAACATTACAAACAATACTCAAGATGTGAACAGATTTTTTTTTTCTTTCTTTGTTCATTCTTAATTTAAGGTTCCTTTCATGCAGTCGACTTTCTGGAAGGTGTTAAAGGACATGAAATACAGGAAAATAATGAGGGATATTGCATGTCTTGAGATATATTTTTTTCTGACAGATGACAAGTTAAAACTTCACAACTAAAGAAAGAACATCCCAAGGTTCTTACAAACAAACATGAAAACCAATCCAAGAGGCACACTTTTAACCTACAGGATGAATGTATACAGAAACCTTAGCCATATCCCCTTGCAACTGTAAGAATTAGGACACACCACTTACTGTTTCAGCTCCCTTTGTGCTACTTGGAAAAAAAAAGGAAACCTTACAGTGGGAAGGTGACAGAGGTAGGCAGAAAGCAGTGTACCCCTCAGCCAGGAAAAAAAAAAAAGGTTTTTTTCCTAATACACAACAACAAATACAATGTTCAAGTTACTTCGAAGAGCTACAGTCTATTCCTCTCAAAACAAGAATGTAAACAAACCTTTTCAATATTGTTCTTGAGATCTTCAGCTTGTTTCTTTTTATTTCTCTTTAATTCCAGTAGATGGACTCTTTTCTTTTCCAGCCAATCCTGAAAAAAATCAGTAGAAGACTTCTATACCTCAAAAATCTTTTGAAGTTGGATGGAACTAAAGTTCCATTAACACAACTAAATATTATTAAAGCAGCACCAATATAATGACCACCAAAACGACTCTTACTTTTTCCATGTGCTACTTAACTAATTGTCCCATTTGAAAAAAAAAAAAAGTTTTGATTATCAAACACAATATTCTGAGGATCTTCAGTACACAAATATTTTAATCAAAAGTGTCAGAAGTTTTAAAAACAGTTTGAGGATCTTTAAAAAAGTCAGCAGGATAAAAACATAAAAATAAAAGATGAAAAATGAAATAGCAAATCTTGCTACCTGCGATATAGGAATATTCTTTAGACTCATTGTGTCTCCTGCTAATAACTACAATTAAACAGAATAAAATCCAACTGGGAAGAGTGAGACTACAAGCATCCATAAAGTGCTGAAAGGTATTTGCAAAATCAGGGCCAATTTTTCATGGTTTATTTGTGTGTTTTATAAGCTGCTTAAAGATAAAATGCCTTAAGTTTATCTTGCCATTAAAAATATGGAAATAAAATAATGGATTTCAGGTTCTATATTTTGTTTTAGAATTATAACAATATCACACACTCCAATGGGGGCAGCATTTATTAATTAAATGAATGCAAATTCTTTAAAACAAAAAAAAATCAAAAAATAAAAGGTGCTGACTCGTCCAAGAAACCCTTTCTGTGCACGGTTGGTTTTGTGAGGGCTTACCTGGTAAACAGCTGCTCGAATGCTGTCTGCTTTGCTGACCTCTGCACTGCACCTCTGCAAACACTTGCCTTCCAACACCTTCAATGTGCCCAAGTACTGCGGTGAAACAGCTCCAGATGGGGGAAGAGCTGTCACATTGTTCTTCAGGTGGGAGAAATAAGAAGACCTATAAAGACACCAAGATAAACACAGTAAAATGATCTTTTTGTTTACTGTAGTTGATACCAAGTAGTTTTCCTTTTTATTCAGTGTACAGCAAAAGTTACTCTGATTCTGCTTTTGCAGGCTCTCGATTGGGGACTGGGGAGGAAGAAAAAGTCTCTTTTCTTCTGAGGACCTTAGTGCTGGCAAAACAAACTGCTGCACAACATATTCAGCCCAAGAAGGTTTACAGGTTCCTTATGCTTTCATATATAAACCAGCTTAAAACCTCTGAAGGCAGCGAGGGCTGCACTGGCGGGTGGATCCTGCAGCAAATGCCCACCACAGATTTGGAAAAGGCCTTACTGCCTGATCTGATGGATGAAATGGTGAGCAGGGTTATCATAACATGTACTAGGACTTTTTGCACATGCAGTGAAAGAGGGTGTAAGGAGCGCAGAAAATGCTGACAGAAAATGGGAGAAAACCACCATCTGGAGGGTCCTTAGACGTAGTTTATGCTTCAGAACTGTGGACTGTGATATGTAGCATCTTTCTCTTACCTGCCAGATGATGTTTTCATACCTTGTGGAAGTGTCTTAGTTTCACTTTGTATCTAGAAATACAAAAGGAATAGGAAAAAATCTATACATAAGTAACAGGACTAGATGAGGCATACAGAGAACTAAAAGCTAGCAAGGATGTTAAATGCAAGTAAGTAAGACTAATATAGAAAGGACACAGTGCATGGTAAGGAAGTAAACAACTTTTGGAATGTGTGTACCTTCTTGGAAAAGCACTAAGAAACCACTTCTGGGCCAAAAAGCACTGTCTATAGTCTAGAAATATAAAGGAATAAAAAGAAACCAGAAGACAGTGGCATTTTCCCTTGCTTAACAATATTAAGAATGGAAAACATAGATTTTTGGTTGTTTTAAATATTTGTGTAGGTTTCCTTGTGTACATTTTCCTTAAAACCAGTTTATTCACAGTTTAAAAGAGCATCAGCTCCAGAAGCTGGAAAGGGTCACCTGTACATGTACCGGAATTCTGCACGTGTACAGTACCAACAGCATATTCGCTACAGAACTTTTTTTTTCTTTTCTCCCCTCCACTTCTAGGACATTGTTCTAAGCAATGGTAAAAATATATATGAACAATACCTTGTGAAAGTCCTTTGAAGTGGTCTTTCCCTCCACATGTTCAGATTTATCATCCATTGACTCCTCCTGTATTGTATCAGTTACTATTTGCCCTTCCACAATTTGCATGTGTCTTTCTGAACTGTCATCTGTTGACTTCTCTGATTTCCTTGTTTTCTTGTAATCTGGGGTCTTTGTTTTGTCTACCACAGAAGGGGATTCTGTTGTATTATCCTCCTTGCTGATGCTAATATTCTCCCTCTGATCTCGATCTAAAAGGAGAAAAATAGATTAAGGGGACACGCTCACTTAGGCAATATATAAATGATAATTTCATAGTTTAAATTGTAATTTCATAGTTTCTTAGTATTGTTACGTTTGTACAAAAAATACATTGCAAAATTAAATATGACACATGATAATGCATTTTCTGATCTAAAATTCACTTCTTCTAAAGGACTACGTGGATTATGATAGGAATTTTCACTTGTGGTATATCTGAGTGTAACACAGGAGTAACAAGCTCATTTTTTTTTTGATGTTACATAATCTAAGGCCAATACAAAGACAAAACTTGTTGTCTGCATTATCACCCAAACACAAACCTAGTGCGAAAAGCAAAAGCCAAGCAACATGCCAGTAGCAAAAACTATTCTGATATCTAGTGAATTACCACCAAAATTTGGATGAATGAGGAACAAATTAATCTCATCATGTGACCATATTTCTGATTCAAATATATTTGCAGTATGACAATTCAGGTGAAAAACTGTTTTTTTCTGGTTTGATGTTTTGGGGGATGTGGGACACAAAAAGAAAAAAAATGGAAGATGTTGGTGTAGAGATTTAAACAAAAGCTTAAATTAAACATATGCTTGAAGTGACCAGTTACAAACCACTTAATACTTTAAAAACATTTTTATCTGATTTGAACTGCCATTACCATAGTAATGTAAATTTGCAAAACAGTTTGGATATAAACAAAGGAAGGCCATGACAACTGGTGACAATGCAAAAAAATTAACCTAGACTGACAGTGATGAAGTAAGTTCAGGGTGACAGAGTTCTGAATCTATGTGAATAATTTTGTGTATTTTGTTGATACATAAACTTCTCGTATTTACACCTGTTAGACTGTGAAATTTTGTCTAGACTGTAGGCATTAGAAACAGCACAACTGTAATTAAGCAGCAACACTTAGTGCACAGGACACTGGCTAAGTTCATTCACTGCTGACTACTAGTGATTTAGGGTATAAACTTCAAGGAACTTCACCTGCAAGTCAGTTTAGCTCTGTTTGCAAAAAATGTACTAATCTTCCCAGGGAGAGCTGCGAAAGCGCTACACCGAACATGCGAGTGCTCCTCCTGTATCCTTGGCCAGTTGGGGCCACGCGTGTTTGAGCGGGTTGCATCGCTCTGGTTGGAATCACACGCCACTTCTGCATCGCATTAAACCCCTGCTCTTCTTTCCCAGTCCCTTCTCCACCTCTCTCTGGCAGACTCCTTGTTGTTGTTTCGTGTTCTCCTTTGCCACTTTGACACTGTCTCCTTTATCATTCTCTTATGCTGTGCTTGCATATGGAGGATCAGTTCTGTACTCTAAAACTCACATCCTCTTCCTTGTACCCCCAAATCTCTCTTTGGGCATTGCTTCATTAACAATGCTCAAAAGCATCAAACTACACCAAATTCATTCTCTGTTTCAAAGTATCATCAAAACAGAAAAAAAAGAACTGAAACTCAGATCCAAGGGTAGTTGTTATTCACTGCTTAATATACTCTGCCAGATTTCCAGTATTTCTTCACCTTTCTGTAGTACTTTGGGCCAAGTCCAAGCTCACATATAAATAAGCTGTATTTTACAGACGGTACACAGGTCATTTCAGCAGAATTCTTATCCCTGGATCTGACAGTGTGAATTATGTACCCGTTTCAATCTAACATGATGCTAATTACTCACAGTGTGATTCCCTTAGCAAAGGGAAAAGGTGTCTAACAGTCCACTCCAGCAGTTTTCATCCTGCGTTCCATGGATTATTTCTAACAAATCCTCCTTGAAAAGGAGGATTAAGAAAGCCGTGTTCCATGGACACTGCTCCAAAGTCCAGAGATTTACACGTCTGCACATCTTCTAAAAAATGTTAAGGATTGATTCACAGATCCAGAAAAATACAAAAAATTCTAATCTACTCAGTCTCTGTTAATCTTTGTGCCTGGAAAAGATGCAGGAAGAAGAGAAAGACTTGCCTGAGTCATGTCAACTGCAAAAGAGAAAAGGAAATTTAAATGACTGGTTTTAAGCCTCAGAGATACTCAGGTGAGGCACATATGAGACACAAACTGCTTGAATTTTAATTTGTTTCTCTTCATTTCTGGGATGCTTTTAGGACCCAAAATCTAAACACCTGGGATTATACTGTACTCGGAAATGACTGCAATAAAATGGGCAGGCCCTTCTCAGAAGCACAGAGAGCAACAGAAGGATATTGAAATAATATAGAAAGGAAATTAAGAGCACCACTCTTGGTTCCATGAAGACTTGTCTTACAGCTTTGAATGATATTTGGGTAAAAAAATGGTAATATTATTTATCTGGTTAACTTAAGTTATACCTTTTATAGATGGTGCATCTCCACACATCAGTAAATTGGAGTCTCCAGATCTTTTATTATGGGAAGTAAAATGAATGGAAAGTGATGGTGAATCACCTTCTAGCCATTCACCCTTAGACCAGAAAGTGACAAATAAACAAATAAATAATTTGTGACAAATCAGAATCACTTAACTTGACTTTAAAATGTACTGATTTTTTTTTCTTTTAGAACTAAGAGAACTATAATTACTGTTCTACACTCAGAGGAATAAAACAAAATCAGTACACTACTAAATGGGTGAAAAATATCACTGAGATGAAATCCTGTTTCCAGGGAAAAAGAAAAACAACATTCTCTAATCTGCCCCTCACCATAAGAACAATATTGGGAAAGCCATTTGCGCCCATTCACATTCTTCTTACAGAAAAAGTTATTAGCTAAATAAAAGACAGTGTCAGAAGGCTCTAATGTAGATGGTAAAAATCTGCACATATACTCTCCATTTTCGCTCTTACTTCAGGATCAGGGCTCTCAGAAAACTTTTTTTTTTCCTCAGGTGTTGCTTTCTGACTAGTTCGGGAGGATGGTGCTGCAATCGAAGACACTACATTTCTGGAAATTATTTTTCCTTCCAACCTATTAAGATCATTGTCTTCCACAGGAATACTTTTTCTCAACAGTCTTCCTGGTTGAGGTGATGATTTATAACAATCATCTAATGAAACAATTCCAATATTCTCAGCTGAAAACGAAAATTATAGTTTTGGTTATGTCTAATTATAGACAACTGAGTCTGGAACACTGTTTTGTTAAATTATGTACAACTATTTTCAAGTAAACCTACTATCTCCAAATAGGCTGTAATATTTAATCAAAGTTTGCAAGCTTCTAAAATAATCTCTAGATAAACTTATGTTTTCATTTATCATTATCTCTATCCACATAAAGATGCTACACTCTAGGAATTTAACTGCCATTAAAGAGACAGTTACAGAGTTCCTGTAAATACAGAAGAGAAAGCATATATTTACAGACAGCACTGTTACAACAACACCTATTGTCTCATTGTGCTTTACTCCCAGATAAACACCCTGCTTCTCTACGCACAGTGCAGAGCAGAACGACCCTGTGCAGACAGACAAGCAAAACGTGGTCCGAGGGGCAGCCTCTCCGCTTGTACCTCGCCTCCTCACTCATGTCTCCCTCCTCCTCACTCATGTCTCCCTCCTCCTCACTGATGTCTCCCTCCTCCTCACTGATGTCTCCCTCCTCCTCACTCGTGTCTCCCTCCTCCTCACTCGTGTCTCCCTCCTCCTCACTCGTGTCTCCTTCCTCCTCACTCATGTCTCCTTCCTCCTCACTCATGTCTCCCTCCTCCTGTAACTCAGTCATTCCGAGCAGCAGCAGAACAGGGCTCTGTGCACAGGACAGGTTAGATCTCGGCCTTCTAAACCTCCTGTGTAATAACCCTCCGTCTCTTGTCGTTTCTCCACCCTGCCACCAAAAAGATCAAGCCCTCGTACATCTTTCTGCCTGCATTTTTCTCTAGATGTGCTGATCCACGCAGAAATGTGCTCCTGATCCTCTCAGTGCTGCAGAGGTACTTCTTATTGAGGCCAGTTCATACAAACCTCTCGCAGGAAACAGAGAACATTATGGCAATTTGAAGTCTTATCATGGTGCCCTTCAAATGTGCTCAGCCATGTAAAGCTGAATTATACAATTCCTGGGAAGTTTACAGAGTAAGGAGTCCACAAGAACATTCCCACAGGTACACAGCTACTTTTTCTATGCAGTAAGTCTTAAGAACATCAAAGAAGCAGACAAAGCAGATTAAGTATTTAA